CAGATATATACCAGTCCACATAAATTGTTATATAATTATTTAATTTCATTTAAATTAAACTATTTAGAAATTAAAATAGGTTTTTTTTTTAAAAAAAAAATAATATAAAAAGCAAGTTAAAAAAAATTCAATACTTGTTCTTCTTAATGATTTTTTAAATATTTTTTTGCAATATTATAGTTTTGCTGTTTAATTACTTTCATCGTATACTTTGCTTTTACTAGTTTACTTTTTTAAAAATGGAATATGAAAACTCATTTGATAGCATATAATTTGCATATGATAAAAGTAGCAGTTTAACTAGTCATGACAATATCAATATTGAAAATGCTAATACAAGTAATCCATCAAAATTGACCTCGTTACCTCAACAATTTTTAGATATAAAGTATGAGAACACTTTACAAGGAGTGCAAGTTTTAAAGAGAACAAAAAGACTATCTGTAAATATTGCAGAATAATATATACTTATAATAAAGGCAGTACTTCTAATCTAATGAAACATCTTGAAAAAACTCATTCATAAAATTAAATTTAATAATTGGTAATCCATTCTTCACTAATATTAAATTCTTTAGAAATTAGCAATTTTTGAAAGTGGTTTATTATAATGTCGTTAAGGGTTTTGGGATTATCTTGAAGTTCAATCCTGCCTCTATTTTTCAACTCAGGAAATACTTAATCCAATAAAATGTTTTCTTTCTTCTGTTTTAATATACTGTAAGCACTAGAAGACACTTCTCTTACTCCCTGTCTTGTGACCTTTCAAGGATGCCGGTCACATGGACTATCCTTTAGGTAGCAAATGTAAAATAGTCAGTAGAAAACTTGTCTTGCAAATCGCTTCAATTCTTTGAAAAAAAAAAAATTTAATACTATATACTGTATAATAAAAAAAAGATAGTGTGTAAAATTCAAATTGATGGTTTGTGTTACAAAACTAATTACTATTAAAAAACATAAAATTCGTGTCGTTTTCTAACACCCTTGAGAGAGAGCTACGAGAATGCAACAACAATCTCAACAGGAACGTTCCCCAACAGAATTTCTTAACAATGTGATTGGAAGGCCTGTTCTTGTTAAGTTGAATTCAGGCGTAGACTATCGAGGTATTTTATTTCTTTCAAGAACGTCTTCAATACAATCGTGCTGGGGAGTAAGATCGCTTTTACTGTATAGGAATTCTTTCGTGTCTGGATGGTTATATGAACATTGCTCTCGAACAGACGGAAGAATGGGTTAACGGCCAACTCAAGAATAAGTATGGTGACGCTTTCATTCGTGGCAATAACGGTACGTCTCGAACGCATTTTACGAATTCAATTTTTTCTATGTAGATATTTTATCTCATTATTTCTTTAGTGTTATACATTAGCGCTGATAAAACTAGATGAAAATAAGATGCTACGCGTCAAAGTTCCAAAACGTAATATCAAAAGTCAACTCATTAAATAAACATAAAAAATTTCACTTTTTTTTTCCTCTTCGCAATCAATCAATAATCTATTGCATTAATCGCATTGGATTTTATACAATTAACATTTATATGTGAATAATTTAAATTACTATATTTAGTCTAACCCTCCTCATTTTTTCGCTTCAAATCTTCCATCCTGGTCGTCTCAACCGGAGATCTGCCATTTCAATTAAAATAAATAACATGTTAGTCTGCTGGAAAAGAATATAATCGAATCGCTCTTAATATTACCCAAAGAATATTAATTCTTTAATGTTTGTGGTCTCTTCATCCCCTATGTTATCCTGGACAAATATCTAGTAACGAAAGGTTTCAAGTTAATGACTAGCACGTTAAGATAATCGGCGCGCAGCAATTATAGGAAGACATACATACAGTGATATTAGTCACATTCTGAAATTTAACAAATTTTAGAGGAATAAACGCATTCTCTTCATAATCTTTTTCAGCAAATTGGAATAGCTGAGTCTCTTTGATAGAATCAATCTCATCGAAGCCGATGTTGAGTCTGTTGACAAAAAGTTTAATTGTCTTGGGGGCGTGCTCTAACAATAAATAATATCAGATTTTCAGGTCATTTACCAACAAATTCAGATAAGACATTTGGCAATAAACTAACCAACATCTTTAGGGACAATATTTATAGAATGAAGTTTCACGAGTTGATTGAAGGGTATAGAAATCAAGAGCTGTTCGTCGACATCTGATTCCAAGTATGAGTTATCATCTTTGAAAATATTTCGAATACCGTTGTTTTCCTGTTGATTGAGACAATCGACTTGTTTGAGGTCGATGAAATCATTTAAATTCGACTGTTGTAGCGGTAGAGAAAAAATAATTCGAATGATGTTACGAAAAAGTGGATAGAAAGGTTTTTAGAAGAACGTGTGTTTTCATACATATCCGTCTCTGGTTGATCCACTGGATTCAGGCGTTCCAGCTTGCTGTTCATTTGTGATGGGCTTAACCTGAGACATGAAGAATCTCGAGAGAGCAATGAGAACTCGAACGGAAATGTGTAGCCAATTAACAAAATCACGTGAAAATATGAACACGCATTGAAATGACAATCACGTGATCAAAATTCATTAGTTATCCTATTTTATAAGCCTCATAATAACAGTTGAGAACAAACGCGTTTTTGGTCAACTTTTTTTTTGTCGTTTCGTTTTATATAGCAAATAACCACCACGTCTACCTAAAAAAAAAAAAAATAAAATAAACAAAATGGTTGATCAAGAATTCAAGGGCAAGCTTCAGTTTGAGGATCCGACTGAAGAAGAGGAGCTTTATCTTGACAGTAAAAAAATTATATCCATTTCAAACCTCACCAGTTCCTCCGGGGATCGAAAAGACTTCACCACCCTCAATGAATTAATTAACTTGAAGATTCTTTCGTTAAATTGCACGAATCTACATTCACTGGAAGGTTTTCCCACGTTGCCTAAATTAAGAAGGGTATTTGTTTCCTACATATTTTTTGATTTTTTTCTTTGCGGATAAAATCGATAACGAAAAAAAAAATTCACAGCGTTTCTTCATGTCTTAGCTTGTTTTGTCAGATAATAAAATATCAAGTGGGTTGGAGGCATTAGCGAACGCAAAACTAGTAAACCTGAACCACCTTGATCTGAGTAACAACAAAATAAGTGAAGTTTCGGCTCTCGAACCGCTGGTATTATTTATCTATAAAATTTTTTGTATTTTAAGCGAGAGGTTTGAAACTTCTTTAATATCTTTATATATATATTAAGCGCGAGCTTCCAAGTCTCAAACATTTAAGTTTAATTGATTGTCCAATTACGCATATTAAAAATTACCGGGATGCTATATTTAAAATCATACCTCTCTTGGATTCACTTGACGACCAAGATCGGTAGGTGAATTCTTGAATTGTTTCATTCTCGTTCAGATATGAAAAATCGTACTTAAGCCGTAACTCGTAATAGTTCGGGCAAAGAAGTCGATTTTGAAGAGGAGACTGAAGATGAAGAGGACGATGTCACGCAATCAAATGGACATGCAGGTTGGTTTATTCATGCGTACACGCTCATGCATAGTGGCGAAGATCGCATCGTTCATTGGGCAACTTCTCAAATTAAATTTCTATTGATCAAGATTCAGAAGAGGATGAAAATCAGGAAGCTGAAAATAGCGAAGAGGAGGTTGGAACTGGATCAGATTCCAATGAGGAAGAATCAGGAGTGGACCCTGACAGAAACAACGTAGGCTTTTTTTAATTTACTAAGAAATGCTTGGCACCCTTTGATGAGTTCGTCATCGTGTTATTGTGAAATTAAAAAGGTCGTGGAGTTGTCGGATAGCGAAGAGGAACAATTAGTAAGCCATCGATTCTTTCTTGTTACACGTTCAATGAATAACGCCCGAATGGTAAATGGACACTCCGTATATGCTTAGGAAACGAGCGAAGGTGATGAAGCGTCGGCCAACAAAAGTAAAGCACCTTCATCGCGTGACAAGGGAAAATCGGTTGCGTTACCGATAGATTTAGATGACAATTCTTGTCAAGATGATAGCGAACTTGAAGAATTTTCGACACAAAACTTTCTAAATAGTGTAAGTTCTTAATCTTCCATACGTTATACACAAAAGCTCTAATTATCAAATACTATTTCAGAATATTCCGGACGAGGATGACACCGAAGATGATTATAACCCTTCCGAAGAAGATGATGAAAACAGTTCGGATCTGGAAGCTGAAAGTGAAACTGATACTGACGTATTGGAAGGACCGTCTACAAGCGAAGCAGCTGCGGCATCAACATCAACTTTGAAAAAAAGAGTTCAGAAACATGATGACAATGATGAGGATGATGATGGTGATGACGACGAGGGTGATGACGACGATGATGATGATGATGATGATGGTGAAGGAGAATCTGTCTCCATTCATAAAAGGGAGGTAAATATTGACGAAGAAGAATCGTTACAAGCAAAAAGACGGAAGATGTAACGTGAGTTATTTTTATTATTGCACATGATGCAAATCGTACATTCCAAGGGTTCTTATTCGAAGCTGATTTTGTCGACCACTGTTCTTTAGAGTCTGCATTGTTTGTATCATAATCTTTCGGCATAAACAAGGTAATTCAAATTTACGTTCGACGAAGACAAACTTGGTTGAAGTTAAAGGACCTGAAAAAAAATTTTTTTTCTTGTTATTCATCGATGAAATATGCACTGGCTGATTATACTAGTAATATATGTTGTTTGAACTATCAGAAGTTGTGTAAAAATAGGTTTCCATCGCAATTTATTTTGTATGATCCATTCATAGTTGCATTTAAGAAGCGCGTTCACATTACATTTTTTCGATGTGCTTTTTCGATAGACTCGAAATAAAGTGAATCTATTTTATTTGCAATTTTTGAAAATCACATGACTGAAAATGATCCGCGTAATACAATTGATTGCTTACGTAAAACGTTTCTACAAATCGAACTCGCCATTTTTCCTTAGCAGGTTTATGTTTCTTTGGATAATTAACATCTAAATAGTTCAAATGTCGGAAACATCACGTCCGCTCCTGGTTGGCTCCGAGGAACCTGCCTCACCTTATCCCATAAAAATGAAAGGTGAAGTGGTTCGAGGGTTCGGACGAGGAAGTAAAGATCTAGGAATTCCGACAGGTATTTAGAGACATTACCATGCTCTCGAAACTCTGATTTATTTATTCACTTTTTTTCTTTTTTTTTTTATCTCGTGTGAATTAAAGCCAACCTATCGGAAGCAGCGGTGGAAGCACTTTGTAAAGACACGAACACTGGAATTTACTTTGGATGGGCGCAGGTCAGCGGGGATCAAGTAGTCTATCCAATGGTGATGAGTCTGGGGTGGAATCCCTATTACAAAAACGAGAAGAAAAGTGCGGTACGGACATGGTTGTTATGCGCCGTTATGGAGTTAATTAATCTCAATAATTTTTTTTTGTGATAATCTAGGAAGTTCACATCATTCATACATTTCCTGAGGATTTTTATGGAGCGGAATTACGTGTGATCGTATTGGGTTACATACGTCCGGAACTTGATTATACTTCGCTTGGTAAATTTAGAACTCCGTCTTTTTTCAGCAAGGATTAACACGCACTCACATATTTCAATATAGACGCCCTTATCCAAGATATCAATACCGACGTGCAAGTGGCACTCAATTCACTTGAACGGGTTTCTTATAGTACTTATAAATCTGATCCATTCTTTCTGCATGTTAATAATTAGATCACTCAATTATTTATTAAATTTAGATCGGAGAAAAGAAAATTTATAAATCTTTTAATGAACTTGCGACAATAGAATTAAATTATAGAATATGAATCTATGCAGTCGCAGTAGAAATTAACCCATGAAATCCGGTCAAATTTCGATAAGAGAGATAAATATTTGTCATATACTAGGTTTTGCACACTTTCTGAACTCAATTTCACTGGTCTTGGTACATTGCATCGTTGTCCACGACACGGGAATCATGGTGGCTCCTGGAAATATGGGAACGCGAGGCAGATTACATAAGAAGGCGGCACATAAAGCACCGAGAGTCTTGCGACAAAAGTTGAAAACACTGACCTGCCAAGCTTTGTGCATAGATTACGCCATATTCATTTTCGACAGTGGACAAAAAATAGGATCTTGCATCCCCCAAAGATATCTCATTTAAAGTTAAATATTAATAAATAAATTAGTATTAAAAATTGGAAAAAAGAATTGAATTAAAAATGTAAAAACAATAGGATACCACTTTAGCCCTAACTATATCGCCAAGCCTATAAGAATCGATGATTTTGACTTTATCCTTGCGCACATCCTGCGAACTAAAGAGAAAAACATGAGGACACCCCGGAAATGATCTTGCATATGTTGATTGATTTTCATTTACCGAATTATTCCTTGAAAATCTCCATTGCACGGTACATTACCAACGACTATTATAGAAACTACCGCTTCTTTAGTCGTCATGCGAATGACTTTGCCAATAATCTGTTTAAAAAACGTTAGAACACGAACACTTTTATATAGTGAATCTAAGATCTAAATGATGCTTACAATGTTGCCTACTTCGGGAATTGTGGATTGAATTCTTTCCCTTGAGACGGTTATGGACCTTGGCTAGGTTGATCCGAGCATCATTAAGTGTTAAAGTTCGTCAAATTCACGTGAAGTAGAAAACTTACCTCTCCTTCTTCACTTGGAGGTAATTCTCGGACAACGCCGACTACACTGGAATAAATATACTCCCCACGAGTATATGTGCCTGGCCCCCCAGAAACATTCTCGGCAAAACATAATCTCTGACCCGGGGTTACATATTTCATCGACATATTTTCTGGAGTTAAAAAATGGAAAACCCTGGCGTATATATGATTGGTCAAAATGCGAGTGACGTCACAGATAAATCCTTTTGCGTGTGGCACATCGCGTTATATTAATCATCATGTACCGTTCCTCGAAGCAAACGGGAAAGGAGAATGCCGTCTCTTTCAAAACACCTAGGCAAAAAAATGTAAAACCAGCCAAGTTTAATGCCGCGAAGACTCCGTTCGCTGCTTCCGTTACGAACTCGAACATCAAGAATAAAACAGAAAATGCAAGAAATGACAAGGCAATAAAGTTCAGTGATGCGAGTACTCCTACTTCTTCAATTATAAATTCCTCTATACCCAGCCAAAAAACGAAAACGCCGATACGCGCGTTAAGAGATATTACTAACAAGACACCGCATGCCAAAGCCGTAAAGTTTGCTCAAGAAACAAGCAGTGAGAAAGCAACATTTTCAAAGCAACAAAGTCAAAGGACGATTTTAAGTGAAAGCACGCCAAAAAAATTTTTTGCCGCAGAAAAAACTGACAACAAAGGTTTTGATGAATGCCCAGATGAAATAGAGAGCAGTAAAGAGGAAATTTTTGAGTCAAAATTGGATGCGAAAGAAGAGGATGTGCCAGACGTTGAATATTGTCCACCGCCAGTTGAAGGTGTGTGATGAACCTTGCTCAAACAACACCAACTTGTCTATTTGAATAACTCGCGCTAACTATAAATTCGATCTCATTTTTTTTGAAAGAATCACCCTACGAACCTTCGGACGAACTTAAAATTAACTTTGAATTCTTCAAGGAACCTCCTAGCGCTTACGCGTATGAATTTGAAAACATCGAGTTTAAAGAAGCGCCGTTTCCAGTGATTGACTCAAGCGAATATCAAAGCGGAGATGTCCTGGACTATTATGGTAAGTTGATGCTTTTTGCTTCATAATGACTGACCGGATTCACGATGAACGCCAATTAACTAGTAATATCTTTTTTCGTAAAGATTTGTATGGAATTGACGAATCGACGAAAAAATTTGATCTTGGAAATGATTTTGAATTCGTAACTGCATTTGACGACTTTCAATTCGACCTCGCGTAAAAAATTTAAATAATGTCTGTAGAATCTATGGTTATTTAAATATTGGTTGTATATATCAAACCTTTAAATCTTTTTCTCCGGCACGTTAATTCCTCCAGGATCTTTTAATCTGCCTATACCTGTGCATCTTATTTTGCGATTTACAACTATCGGTTTAAACTTGGAACATTTGACTTGATCCTTAATTAACAAATAAAGATCATCGTCTTAAATTGCATGTTAAATAAAAGGAAATAGTCGATTTAATTCCATAACTTTATTGCATATTTTAGAAAATTGATCCTTTATTATGAACTAGGTTATTCCTTAAAGTCTTTATATAATATATAGACATACTGTATATAGTGTATCAAAAAATTTTGAACTTTTATTTTTTAATGGTATTTTAATAAATAAAAATTTTTTTTTAATTTGCAATCATGCTATTATGGTACGTCTTTATTGAAACATTAGAACTTTGAAAGATTTATAGTAATAACCTGTAAGCATAGAACTTTATGATTAGAGAATAATCCAAATTATAAAGGAAAATTATTTCCTAAGTAGTATTTAGAGAAGATAAACTTCAACAATAGGTAAACTGATATATGAAAGTTATTTAAATTGTAATTATTTTTTTAATATATAATAAAACAAGTCATGTCAACTTAATAGTAGATTAAAAAAAATAATAATAATACAGTATATAATAAAGTATTGGTTATATTAATTTAATAATAAATTAAAAAAAATAAAATATGAAATAAAATATATAATATTTGTATTGAAAATAATATTTTAAATAGTTTTAAATATCTTGAAAAAAATTATCAATAAAAATAAATTTATATTTAATAAATATTTGTTTACAAAATTTTCAATAGTGACAAACTATTGATAATAAATCTTAATAGTTAGAGGTTAAGTTTAAACTACTAGAGAAGTAAAATATTATTTTTTAAATCTAACTTAGAGTACTAGTTAAAACTTAGTTTTGTTTAGTTTAAACTAATTTAGTAAACTTCTTATATTTTTAAATAATATAGTCTTTTAATTAATAATGTATAAAGATAAGTTAATTATCGTATAATTATATAAATAAAGAATAACTCTTTCTGCTAATCTTTCTTTTTTCTAAAAAAAAATTTTTTTGATAATTTTTAAAAAAAAAGAAAAAATAACTTAAACTTAATAATATACTAAAGAAAATAATAGTTATACAACTTTTTATAATAAATATATATAAGGTTTTATAAACAAAACTATTAACAAATAAGTATACAGTATATTGACAACAGTATATACTTTATTTAACTTTTAAAAAAAAGAAAAATAAAATACAAAATTTAAATCACAGTAAGATTAAAGAATCCAATATCAACTTTTCTAGTTTTTAATTAGGTCAATATAGATTTATACCTTTTTAGACATTAAAAGAAACTTTACAATATAATAATTTTAACTAATAAACTAATTAAAACTCAAAAAATTGTAAGACCCAAGAGAACATCAAGAATCTAAGAGCATTAGCTAAAGAAAATAGTCAATACAATTATAAAATATAAATAATTAACACATAATATAAATATAAATATATTCTAATAAATAACTTAATTTATAATAGTAATTTATACTAGTCAAAATTATATCATTCAGCTACTGAATTATTATTAAATTTGACAAAAATTAATAATAAAAATATCTCTTTAGAATGTCAACTATAACTATATATATTTATTCTTCTTTTAGTGGGGTTTTTTAGATCAGTATCACTTTCTTCAGGTGAATATACCTTTGTTTCTTTAATTACATCAGTTAATTCATTCCGATATTTAGCAACTTTCTTTGACTTTCGTTCAATAAGTGACTATGCACTTTTAATTCTTTGTGCCCTTTTCTTAATTATTCGTTAAAAATTAATACTTGAAAGTAGTATAAATATAGAATATTATTAATTTTACTTCATTTAACTGGCTATTTGCATGTAAGTGACGATTGTCGACTTCCAGTTTTTCAGTTTCTGCCTTTCAATATCTTTCTCTTTAATGGCAATGTAAAGTACCTAACCATTTGTTTATTTGCTTTTATGAGGAATTAAAACATAGGGCCATGGATTTTATTAATTCAGATATCAACTTTTGTAATATTTTTTTATTCACATTACTTGAAAAAATTTCATCTTCTCTCAGTTTATATTTGTCAGGAATAGTTTTCATTAAGACCTTTATTTCTGCTCTTGCTTCTTCTGGTTTCAGCTCATCTTTGGTAATTGATTTTATCAGTTTTTCCTCTTTACTACTTCTCTTAAGTTAAATTCTTCAGCGCTTTTCTAAATTCAGCAAACTTTCAGATTTTGATATATCAGTTGCTCTAAATTTTACAATTATAGGATCAAGTTCAGATTCTACAGATTTGAGCTGATCAATTTTCTTTTTTAAATCTTCTATTTTATTTTTTTGTTGTTCTGATTCTTTGGAAAACTTGTTGTTAATATATTCCATTAGATCTAATTGTTTTACAAATTTGATATTTTCTCTTTCTAGTATTTTGATCTGCATGTGTAATTCTTCATTTTCTAAATAAATTGTTTGATTAATTTAACAATAATTTAATTCTAACCTTTTTTAATATCCTTCCTGATTCAAGTTTTAGATAGTTATTCAACTACTGATATTAATATTTATGCAATTTCAAATGCCAATATTTCAGGCAATACAATAGATGACCTTCCCCTAAATAATTCAGCAGTTATAGTAGGAATAGAAAATTTGGTACCGGGTGTTACAAAACGAACTGTTGCCACTTCTGATATAGTTGATGTAAAGGAAGTTTGTAATAGTAGGGAAGATTATGAAGGTGAAGGTGGCTGTTCTCTGTAAAAAGTGCATCCAGTTGATTTTTTTTTGTTCAAATATTTTAGGTATCGAAAAAAAAAATCAAATTGAAGGGATATTTAAATAAAATTATTTATATTGTTTTAATATAATTTGGGACTATATACAAATATTGTACTACTATTATTCGTTATATTATATTACAATTCAAAGTCACATATTATATTATACTATATATTATTTATCATATTATGCTTGTATTATATTACAATTTAAAGCTATTTAATATATCAATTGCAAATTTGCTACTTTATATTACTATTTATCAATTTTCAAAATATCAATAAAGCATTCAATTTCAGTTTTACTTATGAAAGTTTAAGAAAAAATCTCAAAAAAAGTGAAAATTACTTGCAATTGTAGTAAATACAATGAATCATTTGTTGACCCACGAACAGAATTTTTATATAGATATTGAAAAACAAAAGACGAATATTCGATAAATAAAGAATTCACATTTTGACACAAAACAAGAATATTTTATCAAGTCGAATTATGTTATTAAGTAACAATTAACAAAATCTGAGATTGAATAATGCAAGTTTTGAAAATGGTGAATCTGAAGTAAATGATAATAAAGAAATAGATAATATATTTGAAGATTATTTAATACCAAAATATGAATTTTTACTAAATTCTAGCAAATTTTTGGATAGTTATTTTATGTAAATTTTGTTGTGGATTATGAACTATAGAATTTGATTTAATTTATTCAATAGTGCAATGGATGCACTGCTAAAATTTATAAAATTGGTATTAATTGAAATTAATGACAAAGAATTTGAGCTCTTTTGTGGGTCTTTGTTTACCATCAACAATAAATTTAGATTATCAGATCAGTTTATTAGTTTTGTGGCATTTTAAAGATGTCACAAATTGTACAGACAAGATGATGTTCTTGGTTTTCAAAAAAACAATTAGCTATCGGTCATGAAGTGTATTTATATTGAATTTCCTAATTCAATAATAAAATGAAAAAAAACTTGCAATTTCCACTGTTTACACAATCAGAATTATTAAATGGAAATGTAATTAATTGATCCAATTTAGTTTTTCCATATTCTACTATTTGATATCAATTGTCACAAATATATCAAAATCAGAATTTTGAATCTAATCTTTAGTATTGGGTAGATCGATCAAGCATTGACAAACTTCTATGTAATATCTATAATAGTAATATTTGAAAAACTTTTAAAGATGAAAACTCAGAATTATTTTTTAGCAAAAAGACAGCTGATTTGTATTTGGGATTGATACTAAATATCGATTGGTTTCAACCATTCGATAATAAAGTACACAATACTGAAGTTATATATATGGCTATCACAAATTTGCCATGCAAAATATGATTTAAGCATAAAAATATATTGATTCTTGGCATATTATCAGGTCCTAGTGAATTAAGTTTACATCAAATAAACCATTACTTTTCTCCAATTGTTAATGAATTAATGCAACTATGACAAGGAATAAAGTTCAATTCAATTGCCAAAAATAAAAAGAAAAAAATAATTCAAATGGCCATAATTTTAATTTCATGTGATATTCTTGCTATATGAAAAGTGTGTGAATATATTTTGGCACTAGTATTATGTCATCATTGCAAAAAAATATCAATTATGAAAATAATTATTATAATTTTGGTGATATGAAGGATATAAATGAATAGTTTATACTGAGAGATTTGACAATACATAAATGAGATTCTATCAAATAGAGATATTGTAACTTGAATACAGCATGAAAACATTTTGTCAGTGAGAATTATGCCAGATGATCTAAATTCCTTTGCCTACCTTATTTTAATTCAATTCAATATTTAGTTATTGATCCTATACACTGTCTTTTCTTAGATATTGATAAATGGTTCATTAAATAAATATGAATCAAAGAAGAGATACTGACAAATAATTCATTGGATAAAATACAATCAATAATAGAAAATTTTCAAGTGCCATCAGATATTGGTCAAATTCCGAGAAAAATAAATAGTGATGAAGGATTTTTGAACTTTACTGTCAATCAGTAGAGAAATTTTTTCATAATATATGCAACTATTGTTCTATGGAAACATCTTTCAGATATGGATCACAAAATTCTAATGAATTTTATCAAGATCTGTCA